AAGCAAACCACATCAAAGCACCCGCCAACCACCCAGAGAGTTAGCTATATAGATGGAGAGAGAGAGAAGGAGTGAGGCAGGGAGGGAGAGAGAGAGAAAGAAAGAAAGAGACAGAGACAGAGACAGAGACACACAGAGAGAGAGAGAGAGAGAGAGAGAGACAGAGAGACAGAGAGACAGAGAGAGAGAGAGACAGAGAGAGACACACAGAGAGAGACAGAGACAGAGACAGTGACAGAGACAGAAAGAGCTAGTCAGGTAAACAAACACCAAAGCAGGCAGACAGACAGAGACAGACATAGCACCACACAAAAAAGGAGCTAAAACAGCAGCAACAACAGGAACAGTGTCTCTAACCTTGGGCACGAAGAGAAAACAGGGCGTAGTGTGTCTTACCTTGGGCACGAAGAGAAAACAGAGCGTAGTGTGTCTTACCTTGGGCACGAAGAGAAAACAGAGCGTAGTGTGTCTTACCTTGGGCACGAAGAGAAAACAGAGCGTAGTGTGTCTTACCTTGGGCACGAAGAGAAAACAGAGCGTAGTGTGTCTTACCTTGGGCACGAAGAGCAGGCAGAGCGTGACGGTGGTGGAGAGAAACATGAAGAAGGCCTCCATAGTGTAGGCCAGGGTGGGCTGACTGGACAGGATGTTGGAGATAACCACCACGCTAACCGACATGATGACCACATTGTACACGTTCAGACCTAGGCAGAGAAAAGGTATAAAGGGATAAATAAAAATACATGTATAGTAACAAATCACTAGCTCAGACTTTCCAAAGTTTTATCTGCTCACTACATAGTTTTTAGAAATTTGACCTGGAAGATTTTGAGTTTCACATTATGTCAAGCTTTTTCGTATAGAGCAGACAGAATATTGGTTTCTAACCTCATGGTCTTAATAACTCAATGCAGCCAAAAATGTCAGATAGAACTTTCAAATTCTGAGGAAGCGAAATAGCATCTATATAGAGCTCTGTCCCGTTAGGGAGTCCAACATTAAACGTAGGCGCAACATGCCTTTCAAATGTACTTGTTTTCACGCCCACCATCGACACTATTATTATTAACTTAGTTTATCACGATTTTGACCTCAACCCTGCCTGTTAGGCCTAGATACTCGATAAAGATTATCCCCACACTTGAATCGAAATGAGGTCTTCTACGAGCCATGTCGTAAGGAATTACTCACCGATATACTGTGAATCATTGAGAGCAGGGATCTTCACATGTCTGGTCTCCCATGCCATGTACACCCCAAACACCAATAGAAGGCCTTTATAAGCGTAGAAAGCGCCCAACCATTTTTGTAGATGTTCAGACCGGCAGGTGGTCAGCTGATCCTGGAAGATGAGGTCTTCGTCATCAGCCGAAACCTGAAAGCAAAACGATTTTATTTTTCAAATATTATAATTGTTTTACACTCTCAACGACAGGATTGATATACTTTAGTTGGCAGGCTTCGACCCGACCCTGCCTGTCAGGGCCAGCTGAGAGAGATACCACGTCCCATTAGGAAGACCCAGATGTGATAAACATTCTCCCCACACGAGAATTGAACACGGGTCTTCTGCATGCGACTGTAAAGCGTCTAACCAATACTCCACAGACGCCTGGCCTGAATAAATTAACAAAAGCGTAAACAATATTTGTGAAAAAAGTTACCTCAAAGTAAGATATGGGGGGCTCTCGTGGCTTAGAGGTTAAGGTGTTCCCCTCTCATTCAAAGGTCCCGGATTTGAATCCGGGTAGCGACGGGAATCATTTCATCTCTAATATTGTCTCCTTTCACCTCCTTTCGTGCGCTTTATCAAAGTTCTGTCGCCTGCTTTTGTTTCCACTTTCTGCCCCCACCCCCTCACCTCCTTTGTCCCCTCCCCTTCACCTTCTTTGCCCCTTCCCCTGGGCTCCTGACTTTCTGCAGCCTTTCTATTGCTACGCCTTGACTCTTTCTTACTTGTGTCTTTCAGCCACACCTCTGATCTTCTGGTAGGAAAGATCTACCCTAAACCTTCTCGGACAAGGGCAAAAATTCTCGTGCAAGTTGCGCACGTTAAAGATCCCTTGGTGGTCTAAAATCGATTAGAGTAGGCTTCGGCCGCGACCTTGGCAAAATTCAAAATTTCCTAGCAATTGAAAATTTGTAACGTGTCCCGCGCGCTCATATGGCCTTATGCAGTTCCGAGGGCCGTGAAACACACAAAACGTAAGGTATTGTCATTACTTAACACTAGCATAGACAACAAATCTGATCATTTAGGAGAAGGGCTGCTCCAACCCTGTCTGTCAGGACCCCTTGTTGGCTGTGAACCGTCTTCTTAGCATACAGACGAGGGTACTTGATTTGATTTTTTTTAAATCAAGCAAAACAAAAATAAGAAAATAAGAAAAATAAAAACTACCTCACTCAGGAATCGAACCCACGTTTCTTTGCATGAGGAGGCGAAAAACATGACCGCTACAGCAAAGACACCAGTAATGAAAATGGGAAACGGGATGTTACTAATTGATTTCTCTTTAAAAATCGAAGCAGATTTGATTCATGCTCCGGAATAAGTCTAACGTTGTCATAATGAGATGCCTCTTTGTGAAAAATCCGTTAACGTAGTGTTTTATCCCTGTAATGCTCTTGACTCAGTGGACAAGACAGGTGGAAAGAGCTGTAGGAGAGTGGATAATCTACAGGAGACAGAGTAATATAAATAATAATATAACAACACAATCCCAGCTTTCAGGCTTGGCTTAACTCTTTAAGCACGTAGCGGACACAAACATGTCCGATAAGCAGCAGAACAAAGTCAATATTGCAAGACATTTCATATCACAATGACAGGAAAAACACAACAAACAACCTCCCCCGCCAAACAGCCCCCCCCCCCAAAAAAAAACAACAACAACAAAACAAACAAACCCAACAGCAAACAAACACCCATTTGCACATTTCTTATTGTTGTCTCACCTTTTGAGTTTTAGATAACGAAAGAAGAATTGACAAGTGTTAATCAACAAAGAGGATACTATTTATTATACACAGGGTGATCCCCAAAAACACTTTACAACTGTTTTTCTGAATATCTCGCACAAAAGTTGTTCTAGAATGCTATAATTTGGAACAGACATAATTCATTCAAAAGGAAGTTGTTTGATATAAACTCCACGAAGAAGAAACATGTTTTGAAAACGGAAACGGCTAAAAAAAAAGCACCCAAAAACGCAAAACCAATGTTAAAAATCTTGTAAAGGAAGTCGTGAAAAGATTAGTTCACCTTTTTCTTTATTTTATCTTTGACATTAATTCTCCATCCCTGTGACATTTAAACAATATTTAATTTCTTTTACAGAGTTTTAAAATCTTAATGATTTCATTCTGAAATTCATAGAAGCAGTGCTCCACATTCCCTCCTCTGGACTCGACACATTTTTAACGCGTCGTTCGAAATGTTCAGTGGCGCCCTAACACACGGACCTGCTAAAACATAAATTTTAAAAGCCACATACACTTTACATGTTCACTAAAAAGTGGCTTCTAGAGACAGTAGAGTGGGGTGCCCAATAGACTGCATTTTTGGAGTTAACATATCCCGCAGGGTGAAAATGGGCTTTGCACTAAACCAAATGTCATAGAGGAAATAATCGCTCTTTACAAGACAATCGAAGAATCATGAACACATTGAAATGTTCCGATCCATGTCATCGGCCTAGCAAAGATGAATATGGTATAGTCGTAGGTTAAGATCTGCCATAAGAATGCAGAGCGTTGATGTGTAGGAAAGTCCTCGCTGAAGATCGTCTGCGGACAGACGTCTCATGGGACTCGGCTACTGAAATCTGCTCTCTTGTGACGTTTAAAGGGCTGCGCATGGTGCGTGTTCGACCTGAAGCAGTCATTTTTTAAATAGCCTTTTAGTTATGATTAGCTATAGATCCAAACTGACAGAACTTTTCTACTCATGACGCCAAAGGTCTTGAGGGCACCTAAGCATTCTTTCCATGCTGTGTGCAGAACTAACGAAATGTCAGGGATGGTGAGTTTGTGGAGAAGTAATGATCAATACAAAAAGCTCTCTGCTCTTTACTAAACGTAGCCATGATCTCAGCAGGCAAACAAAATTTGGGAAAAGTTATATCTGCAGACTTCTGTTGACTTGTTAATGTTAGACTGCTGTAATTTGCAATATGGCGCGATTGTTGCAACTTTTAGTGGTAGGCTTAAAGCGAACAGATGCGCCATTCTATGAAAATGGCGACAAGTTTGAAAATGGGTTGTTTTTTTTAATGCGCTATATAGAGCAAAACCATTCAATGGACTTATCTAAAATACATATCAGACAAATTCCATTTTGCTACCAAACGTTATGTTCAAATCTGAAACGCAAAACTTCAGTATGGAGGAAGATATTTACAAAACAATTTGTAAAGTTTTTTTTGGATCACCCTGTATTTCTTTTTAAAAGCGTACCCCCAAAACAGTGCGTTTTCTAGCGTTGCTGAAACTCCAGAAAGTGCGTTACCCAGTGAGTTAATCCTGCACTTTGCTCAGACATAGATTCTTTTGGCCACACTTGCACAAGGATAAAATACTATGGTTATGAACGTTTGTTCACTGACACGTCATGCTTTATCAACACATAATATCATTATTATTACAATTACTATTATTGTTATGATGATGATGATGAGGATGATGATGATGATGATGATGATGATTGTTGTTGTTGTTGCTGTTTATGTTGCTGTTATTGTTGTTGTTGTTGTTGTCGTCATCATCATCATTCTTCTTCTTTTTCTTCTTCTTCTTATTTTTGTTATTTAGAAGTTGGTTACAGATGCAAAGACACAATATGTTTTTATGAGCACGCTTTCACACGTACAGATAATTTAATGTCAGTAACAACCTACACAGGAAGGTGCATTCGCCAAAATATTTAAAATGTTTGGACACAGGAACACATAAACGCTTATAGAGGCACTCGCCACAGGCATATAATATGTTTATGAACACTCTTACACGGACATACATTATGTTTATGAACAACTTAAGTTCATGAAAACTCTGACACGAGCAGACATTGTTAAGTTGGTGAATACTTTTACACAAGCAGACATTGTTAAGTTGGTGAACACTTTTCCACCGGCAGACTTTATGTTTATGAACATTCTTACACAGGCAGATTTTAGATCTACGCGTAATAACTCTCTTACAAAGGCAGACTTTATGTTTATGAATACTCTTACATTGGTAAACATTATTGTTATGAATACTCTTACACGTATAAACATTATGTCTATAAACACTCTTCTTACTCAAGTAGACATTGTTACGTTTATGAACACTATTACACAGGAACATAATAAGTAAATGAACGCTCTTACGCTAGCAGATGTGTTAAAGATAAACACAAACACAGGCAAAGTTGTTTATGAAGACATTGCTATTATTATAGGTACATACTTTTATAAACAAAGAGGAACATGTGTTTACGACAGCACTTAAATGGGCACAGACTACACTCATACTCACCTCAAAATTGGTGTTTGACCCTGAAAGCTAAAGACAATATAGACCCTAATTTGATAAACAACTTCAAGACTGAAAATACATAAATGCTTGAGCAAGTGTGGCTAACAACAACATTTTTATCGAATGTTTCATAGATATACAGCTATTTCAGATATATCGTGTTTAAACCGACCGATTCTTCGATAGATAGATAGATATAGATAGATAGATAGATAGATAGATAGATAGATAGATAGATAGATAGATAGATAGATAGATAGATAGATAGATAGATCTTTAGACAGATCGATCGATAGATAGATAGATAGATAGATAGATAGATAGATAGATAGATAGGTAGATAGATAGATAGATAGATAGATAGATAGATAGATAGATAGATATATAGATAGATAGAGCGTGAGAGAGAAGGAGAGAAAGAGAGAGAGAAAGGGAGAGAGAGAGAGAGGGAGAGAGAAAGAGAGAGAGAGAGTGAGTGAGAGAGAGAGGGGGGAGGTGGGGGGGGGCACGGCGGTCAGAAACAACAAGAGAAAAGCGATCATGCTTGGATGGAATTTTTTAGGTCTATTAATATTACAGATGAACTTTAATGCCCAATATTATCCTAAAACAACAATGATTAGAATTGAAAGTTTCACCCTGTGTTGAAGGTGAGTTATCTCCTGTTAACACGTATAATTAAATCAAATATTCGATGTTTCGATGATAAAGAATGTAATCAATTGTAATTGTGCACGTTTCCCGTCACTGTCACTGCCGACAAAATCTTGAGGCGGGCTGCTTCGACCCAGTTTGTCAAGGTCAACCCGGACAGAGAAAGACACATCCTTGCTGACAGATGAAGATACTAGATAA